GCAGATGGGGGGTGTTTGGTGTGGGGGGGGGGTTCAGAGCCAATAAGACTTTCATTTACTAAAAGGGAAATGAAGTGTAGGAATCAAGGTGACCCAAATGTAACAAACCTACACACGCTGTCCTGGTTTTGGTCTCTCTGGGGACAGTCAGCAGCCGCGGCATTAACCTGCTTAGCTTTTTTAACATTTTTAAGTAAGGAAGAAAGTTAGTGCCGTTTGTGTTTGAAATCATGGATTGGATGATCAATAAAAGAGACTCAGGGTCTGTTAACACATAATTATAATTATGTTTAAAAATGTTGCGCTTCATTTGTATATTGTTTTTTGCATTTAAGATTTCAGGGAACAGAAATGAACGTCACAGATTATATACTGAGCTCCAGTTCCCGTTTTAAAAAGTTGATGTTTCTTTTTCTTTTTTTTTTTACAGTGAACTTAAACATAGTTTCACATTTTGAAAAACTCCCAAAAATGTCAAAAATCATTGAGCTTTTAGTTTCAGTTGACTTTCAACCAGGGCCTGTTTAGTTGAACACAACCCTGATCTAGTCCCAGGAATTGAAGAAAAAAAATCTTTATAACAGCTTTGAGTCCTTTTTTTTGTTTATTTTTACAGCCTCCTACTGCCACCTAGTGGAAGTGTAGTCCACTGCTATGCCTGTCACTGCTTCACAGATAAACAAAGTTAAGTCAAATTCTCTTAGTTGTGTTTTTCTCTAAAACATTGGAAATATAAACTTGTTTGAAATAATTATATTTGTCAACACAAACAACTTCATTTAGAGATTTTTTTTTAACTGTCAGTCTTAGCTCGGCTAAGCTAATCCTTCTAGCCTGTATACAGTACATGTTTAGTACTGGTTTTGTAAATTGTTGGTGACATTACTGCCACCTACCGAGTCGATTTCCGGCTGAGAAATATTCCCTTTCAAAAAAAATATAAATTATTTGCAATGAAAGGAGGAAATAAAATATATTATTATTATGACTATTTTTGTTAATAATAATAATCATAATAATAATTTACATTCAATACCTTTAAGTCATGGTGTTTTGTAGTTTTTGGACCTGTTTTATTCACTGTTTCTAATTCTTAAAAATGAACCTGTGATCATGATTTAATTGGTTCAACGATTTTGCTTTGTATCCATAAATACTAAAAACGTGTATGTGTGTGTGTGTGTGTCTTTATGCGCATTTTTTTAAAAACCAAATCCGCGGACTTGCGCGTCCACCCGCGCCCTTTAACATACTTTAAGTTGCACGCACACGCGAACACGCACCCGCACGCCAAGGCTTTAAGCCAATGCAAATCTGAAGGCCGGTGCTGCCAGTGGTACAACAGTAAAATATAACACTACAGTGAGGGACCGACGACGGCACCGGCCGCGCTGAGATGCTGCTGTAGGGGAGGGGAGAGGGGGGAGGACTGAGGG